TGCCCTTAATGTAGATCTCTACTAATGTAAGCTCGCTCGATCTAAAATCAATTAGGACTTTTTCATGTTTGTAATATGGGCTAAGGGAAGGGTAAGATATATTTTAGGAATAGTGACTCAACCTCCTAAGCACTTTAACACATCAACAAATAACTTAAGCGCAAATTCATCAACACCACTTTAATTTCACAAATAATATCACCCCCAACAATATTTCCTTTTTCTTTAAGCACTACTTTAATTCATACCCACTAGCAAGAACAAGACAATAATTTATTCATCTATATTTTTCTTTCTTCTTTTTTTCCAGATTTTTCTCTTCTTCTTTTTTTTCTTTTTCAATTTTCGCTAGTGGTGTATTATTTTACAAAAAAAGTGAACCCTTCTTTATTTCATTGGTTCCACTCAAAAGCCACCCCACACTTAGTCCCTTCTTACTTCTTTTAGTGCTTATTTCATAATTAAAGTGATTTAAGAGGTAAAAGGATCAAAACAATGTCAATTAATAATAAAAAGGGTATAGGCTTGTAATGTGGGTACCAAATAAAAGTCAATAGGCTCAAAATTGTTAACTAGGGACNCAATGTCAATTAAGAATAAAAAGGGTATAGGCTTGTAATGTGGGTACCAAATAAAAGGTCTACAGGCTCAAAAGGGTTAACTAGGGATAGATTTTATTTGTGATAAGCAATAAGCTCAAAAAGATCAAAGAAAGCCTAAAATCATTTTTCAAACCGAGCATCACCTCAAATTTCGCTTCAACTCACATACCGGGCAAGTTCTAGACACAAGTACAATACATGGACTACACAAAAACCTCATCACACATGGCACATGACTCACTAAGGACGATCACATTCCGACTCTCAAGCAATGCAAGTATTCACGGAGCCACGAGATATTAAGCATTAAGCGCAAAGTGAACACAAGTCAGGAAAATGAGAAATAATCGTCACAAAACATGCTATCTAATATATAAAGGCATCAAGATTAACATAACAATATAGGGGAGATACTACACATGCCAAAGCATAAGTATGTTACTATGAAACAAGTCAAGGACGCTTAGGTTCATCATTCTTCCTCCTTTTATTTCCTAAATTCCTAATCTATTCTTAAAAAAAAAACTATTACTGCCTGGTTCAAAATACATCCCATGGAGAAGAACCGAGGCACAAAGAAAAATCACAGGAGATTATTATTACCTAAAAAAAAATTTACTAACTACTTTTCTGCTTTTCTTTAGTTTTCTGTCAATCTTCTAATACTAACACTAATTTCAAAAATCAAATGAAAATCTTTTTGTGTTTTTCTAAGGACCTTAATCCCTCGAGAGAACTGTCCAGGTAGTCCGTCATCGGGAAAAGTCCTTTATTTTCTATGACTACACATAACAATGAACTGAGAGTTACTCCATATAGATGACATTTACTAACTATTACAGGCCATTAATCCAGTGAATATTACAGCCCTTAACAGTATCAAGATCAACAGTAACAGTTAAGTACATTCATCCACAAGCATAAGGATAACCCCCACCCCACATTTAAAACCGTGCTTTGCCCCCAATGCACACAAATAACGTAAAGTAGGATGAGAAGAAACTCCCCTCAAGTCAAGGTGGAAGGCTCATCCGCAGTCTGTGGAAGAGCATCAGCGTCCATGGCATTCATTAAGACCCCCTCCAGCCTGGCGATAGCATCCTTACGAATATGGGGAGCTGTCACAGTCCTATCATCACCAACTGGAGCTAAGTCTGTAGCAGGTGGGACATCGGCCTCAGCAGGCATGGTATGTGGGGTCTCGAGGATTATAGGAGAAGCAGAAGTGGATGGTCTAGCGGTGGACGATGCAAGCAACTGTGAGATCTCTATATCTGCACATTGAACTAGAGCATAGAGGAGTAATGATACCTCCCTCATCATCGTGGCCTGCTCAGTCTGAACTCGGCTTAGATCCGCATGAGTCTGACTCAACTCATCCCTGGTGGCACTCAACTCTACACGAGTCACTATCAACTCAGCCCCGTTCTCTTGCATATCAGCTTACATCTGCTCAAACAACTGTTGAATGGTGAGCTTAGAAGACCTTCCCTTATTCGGCTCTAGTATATGAGTAACATCATATGGTCCTGGAGCTTTAGCCTCAATGTCGTCATTCTCCTTGTCCCATAGTACTCCCATCTCTATCAAGAAAGCCGATAGGGTATTTGCAAAGAACAACCTCCACATGTAATTAATCCTGGTGCGCTGCATTTGGTCATGCATGATGGCTCCCAAGTTGAGCGGTATCCCCTCCAATAAAGCATACAATACTAGTGCTCGGTGACGAGGGACATCAGTTTTGTGTTGGCATGGCATCAGGCGGTTGCATATGAAATTTAGAGCCACACGTGCTAACGCACTCATGAATTCCTTGGCAAGAGAATGGTACTCCATACTCCCATGCTTCTAATTTGCATCCTTCCTGGTAGGGCATAGGACCGACCAAATGTGTGCATAATCCGGTGCTATGCATATGGAATCAAACCTATCTGTTAGTGTGTGTGGCACCCCTAAGAAATTATTCAGAGCTTCAGCTAAGACATTAATATCCATCCCTCGTACTCTCACAATGCTGCCCCTGGAATGACGCCAATTAGCGTAAAGCTCTCTGACAATAGTGAGGTTGGCTTTGCCGTGACCCTTCAAGATATGTCCCCATTGTTGCACCTCTCGAATTGATTTTAGAAACTCTAGGTACTTTTTCTTAAGTGTTCCGATGTTGATTGGCTTTTCTGGAATGTACTTCTTTGAACCCAGTATCTTATCATAAGCTCGGAATGCCTTTTCATTAACAAAGTTCTTCTCCCAAGCAGCTCGGTCTATTGGTTCACCCTCATCTTCATCACTCATGTCGACATGTAGAAGCTCATTATCCGAATCGGACACGGACTCGGACTCAGATTCTGCAGTAATCTTCTGCTTTCCTTTATCATTCGGATCACTCTGTTTGGAGGCTTTTCTGTGGTTCGGCACAGGTTCACTTATCTCTATCCCTTTGCTTGGCGGATTTAATGATGTTGTTGTAATACTCTTCTTCATTGTCCTCCTTACTAATTGTTCCTCCTCTTCTTGCTCTGATTCATCAATTAAATGCCTAGTCTGCAGTTCCTTCTCTTTGTCAGTTCGCTTCCTTTTTTTCTGTGGATTTGGAGAACCTGTTTCCTTTCCGGTGGGCTTTTTGGGCGGTTGCTTGTTATTATCTTTGTCTTGTTGCTTGGACTATTTGCTCGTTTCTGCCATTTCCCAGCCTCAGTAACTGCAATGTGAAGAAATCAACAATGAGCGTATAGAACAGTGAAGTTCAGCTATAAAGTAGTTGCAACATCTTGCACTTCCAATCATTTGCATAGTCATGTCATTCATTACTTCATGAAACT